CCCAGGAGCCCCTCATCTCATCTCTACTACAAAAAAAAACAAAACAAAACAACAACAACAAAAAACAATTGCCAGCATGGTAGTACGTGCCTGTGGTCCCAGTTACTCTGGAGGCTGAGGCAGGAGGATCATTTGAGCCCAGGAGTTCCAGGTTACAGTGAACTGTGATCACACCACTGCACTCCAGCATGGACAACAGAGTGAGATCCTGTCTCTTAAAAAAAAAAAAAAAGTGTAAAATGCTATTATAATTCTTAGGTCTGACATTTGTAACCAGGAAGAAGTACATGGAGCCTAAATTGCCTTTCTGGTAATAATATTTAGTTTTCATGCACTATAAAGATACCCTGGGTATATAAACTTTCCTGTAAATTGAAATCAATTTGCTTCATCTGGGGTTTGGCTCTAAAGTCTTTTGCTTGCAAAAAATGCCATGAGGGAAAGGCAGGCTTTCTAAGCCCAGGTCCCCTGACCTGTAGAGAAGATGGGTGTCAGAATGAGAGGATGTGGTCATCATTTGGTATTCAAAAAATTCAAACAGAAGGTTGGCAAGCAGCAATCAAGGATGCTTGAAGGGGAAAGTGGCTAGATTTTATGATTAGTCAATAGCATCAATTTTCTGGAAAAGAGGCCAATGTACACCCTGGAGAGAGTGCTTTGTGCTGCTAGTGATAATTGTTCCTCATTAACTTTGCCACAGAGAAGCTTTGGTGCCCAGTGCATAGATGTTCGTTGTGGTCACTTTCTTTGAGTTAAATGCAAACTACTTTAGACCTATGGTCCCTGGGCTGTATATTTCTGTTAAATTCCCTGCATTCGTTACCTTATAAGAACAAAACAAAGCAAAACCCCAAAAAAGCCCAAACAAAATAAGAAAATTAAACTAAAATATACCATGTAATTAAAAAATTCGTTTTAGAGATTCTTATACTTGAAATTACAGCACCTAATTTTAGCTGATAAAGCCTTTAATTCCATTCTACTTCAAGCTTGAAAGTCAAAGGCTTCTGAAGGCAATGCAGACTGACTTCTCACTTGCTGTGTTAGCTGTAGTAAATTATTTAACTTATTTGTGCTTTTTTTGGAGGAGGGGTTATGTTAGTCTGCCTCTAGAGTGTTTCTAGGACACGTAAGTGTAAAAACCATCCTGGATTACTTTATCCAAAAGCAACTCATGATAAATTCTGTTTGTCTCTGCCTTGATGGCAGTGGATTGTGGAGTTTTAACTACTAATGGACGTTCCCATGACTTTAAGTGATTGTAAGATGCACTATCAGTTTAATAAGAAATTTTCAAGGTCGCAATGGGGATAGGAGGAGTATGTGTCAATGGTAGTATATACTTTTTGGTGTTAGCAACATTAAAATGTAAAAATATGTACATCTTTAAATTGAGGAAGTATGATGCCTACTTTCCAGGGTTGTTGGAAGGATTAAATGAGATTTTCATGGGTGAGAATATCATTTCATACTGTTGAGTGTTACAATGCAAATATTATTACTGGCTTTATCCACTGCACAGCCCGGCCTTTAATAATGTACTTTAGTGACTTGAAAAAATTGGAAATGTCATTCAATTTTGGGATCCGATTTCTTCATGAGAGTCATTTTTAAAGAGGGATCTGTGGTTCTTAACAACAGCTAATACACAGAGACTTTAGAACCAGAAGTTCAGTGAATTCTATCCCCAACTTTTATAAGAGGAAAAAAACAGGTTCAGAGAAATAAAATGACTTCTCGATATAACATGGTTCCTGACACAGTTGGGACAGAAAGAGGACTTTTTATAGATGACATTGACAATTATAACTATGGTTATATACAGCGAAGCACTGAAACTAGCTGTGTGACCTCAGCTCAGGCGAAGCAGGTGTAGGACTCCAGTCCCCCAGATGCACAATGCCTTAGCGACAGTACAGTGCAAGGCTAAGCTGATTCAGGTCATAGGATTGAGGCAGGGGGGCTTAAGGGTGTGAAACTTGTCAGAATCAAAATGGAGTCACTAATGTTAAAAAAAAAAAAAAACCCTGACAAATAGAGCTGGAGAAGGCCTCGAAGGGAGGGTGCTCATGCATAAATGCCTGCTAACAAAAACTGTCACAAAAGACTCCACAGCCTTGCACAAAGGCCATTGCAACTTTACACACAAAAAAATACTTCTTCAAGGACATCTGCCCAACAACTGCCTGTCCAACCTGGGGTCACCCTCGTTATTGATCTTTGTAGCCAAAGGTAATTATTTCAAAACAATTGTTTAACCCTCCTCATGTTTTCCTTTAAAAACCTTTGTCTTTCTTGACCTCCTTGAACACACACATAGCTTACTATGGCATGTGTATTTCCACTGCAATGCTTTCTTCCCAAATAAATATCTTTTTTTGAGAGAGAGAGCCTCTCTCTGTTATTTAGGTTGACAAGGGCATGTGAGAAATGCATATGAGTAGAATCTGATGTACTAGATGGGCTTCCTGCCCATGGGAAAAAAAAATCATGCTCAGCCAGAGTGGAGCTGCTTGAATTGCAAGTCCTTCTGTGCAGGGCAAGAGTTTCATTGCCACCTGACCCCCCTACAAAGCAATTTGCCTTGGTCTGAAAAGGACAAAGCCAAATGGGTCTCAGGCATATGACTGTTGGTCTGGGGCAGCCCTGTTCACAGTAAGAACCATTAAGACTTCCCTTGTAGTCACCAAGAGGTTGGCTGACCTGGAGTGCATGATTACACCGCTGGAGTCACAGAAATGCATCTTTAAGTGCATCCAATTACAGACCTACCTATACCTAGGCGACAGCATCTCTGACCCAACACTGCGGATTCCCTAGCAACTTTCTTGAAGGCTTATCAAAGAGTTGCAAGGCAGGATCTGGCGTATTGTGGCTTTATCTATGCAAGGCAGGTTAGGACAGGGCTGTCACCATGTCCCACCTGGGGCTACTGATGCCTGGTTAAATAGTTGCCCTAGCACCCCCAACCTAGTTGAGGGGGGAGTCAGGTCCATCAATGCTGTGTGATGCTCTAGCTGGCATTAGGCTGGCCTGCTCTTGGACTTTGGGACAAAGTGGAAGCAAGCTGTCCAACGGTGGGCAAAGCTGAACTGAAGACTCAGGGTTTTAAAACAGAAAGTGGACGTGTTGTCTGTGTTTATAATTACCTCATTTAGTTCTTACACCTGTTATTACAATATTCATTTGACAGGTCAGGATGCCAATCTAGGATCAAGCTGCCCAGAGTAGAGCTGTTCACCAGAGTCCTGACTCCCAGGGCTCTAGCCTTACTGCTCTCTGCCAGGGGCGTGTGGCCACGCCTCTCCCCCCCGCGGTCTCCCCGAGGACTGTTCCTATCCCTCTGACCGCAGAGAGCCCTTGCGAAGGCTGCAGCTTTCTCCTGTGTGACCCGGCTGGCCTGCACCGCTCCCTCACTCGGACGAGGCCCACGCCCCATGGCCATGACCGGCTCAGCTCCTGTCTTTGTTTGGAGTACTGGAGAGACCTGGAAATAGCGGGACGCGTGCCTTCAATATTCATGTCGCTGTTAAATAAACGATGTCCTAATTTGTGTCTGTTTCATGCCAGCGTGAAACTTCTGTAGACAGAGCCGGCTGCGCTGCCAGTCCTTCCTTCTGCTCATCCCCGCAGCCTGCCCCCCCAGCCTCCCCGCACCCAGCCTCCCCGCAGCCTCACCGCACCCAGAACCCCCAGCCTGCCTCCCCGCCCAGCCTCCCCGCCCCCAGCCTCCCTGCAGCCTGCCCCCCAAGCCTCACCGCACCCAGCACCTCCCAGTCTGCCTCCCCTTGCCCTGCCTCCCCGACCCAGCCTCTCTGCAGCCTGCCCCCCACTCAGCCTCCCTGCACCCAGCCCCCGGCATCCTGCCTCCCCGCCCCCTGCCCCGCCCCCCTGCGTCCTGTCTCCCAGCACCCTGACCCACCCCGCGCCCTGCCTCCCCGCCGCAGCGGATCCGACACCCGGGCTCGCGGGGGGCGGCTGTTCCCGCCGCTCGCGGCTGGCGTTGGAGAACGTGGAGGTTTTTTCCATTCATAAAACTGGCATCCCCGCGCGCCGACTTCCCGCCCGCAGCGCAACGCCACGCCCGCGGCGGGCTGGGGCCTGGCCGGGCGGTCTCGGTTCCGAGGGCCGGGACCCACCGCGCGCGTTCTCGCGCCCGCCGGGAAGCCCCGAGTGTGACCCGCCGCGCGTCCTCGCCCGGCCTGGGCACCGCACCGACCGGCGCGGAACGCAGAGACAAAATGGCTCGTGGTTCAATTCACGAATAAAACCTCACCCTGTGACTTCAGGCTGGCGACATTTTGTGACTTGCATGTTTTTGCTTTGCCATAGTTTTAGGAAGCGACTGTCCAAGCGGGTGCCTGTCCCTTTCTGAACGGCTGGCGCTGCGGGCCCGGTTTTACCCTGCGTGGCGATGGGCGGGGGCGCGGGAGACGATGGCAGGGGCGGGGCGGGCAGGGCGTTGTGCTAATTCAAGATGCAATTTCCTTCCAAATAATGGCTCGTTATTAACAATGATCCTCTCTGCGAAGCCCTTAGCATTACCCCCGATCCCCCAGCGGCAAGCGGCGAGCGCCCATTCGCCGAGCCCGCGACTCCGCCGTCCCCTCCCCCACCACTCCCCGCTCGGGAAATTACTACTCCGCGGCGCGGGGCGGGGGCGGGGGCGGGGGCGGGGGCGGGAGGGGATTCCCGGCAGCCGCGCTCGCCCTCCCCCGCCGGCGCGGCGTCGCGCGGCCAAGGTCAGGGGCGCCGCAGGAGCCGCCGCCGAGACCCCGGGAAGCGGGTCAGTCGGGCCCCAGCCGCCGAGGAGGGCGGGCGCGGGCTCCGGGCCGGGCCGCACCGAGCACGAGGCCCCGCGGGTGGCGGCCCAGTGGTCCCCGGGCGCTCAGCTCCGGCCCTGCCGCGGGTCGCGGGCGCTGTCCGCCGCCGCTTGGTGCTGATCCCCGCCCCGCCGCGGCCTGCGCCTCTGCCCGGCGGCCGCTCGCCCGGTAGTGGGCGGGGCGGGGGCAAAAGGGAGCCTCGGGGTGTCGCCCACCCGAGCCGAGGGGCTGAAGCGCTAGCTGCGGAACAGCAGCCCGGCCGCTGGTCCTGGCGCGGCGAGGGGCGCGCGCCGCTGCTGATTCATCACCGCGAGCGCCTCGCAGGCCACCGCGAGGGCAGCGGGCCGGCGCCAGATCCCGCCGCAGGTGGAAGCCGCGGGTGCAGGAGCCCCGCGGGCAGGAGGTGAGGACCCCTCCCTTCTCTTGCCCCAGTCATCGCAGGGCGGTGGCCACAGGACAGAGAAAGGGGCGTGCCCCTCGGCGTGAAGTAGTCACGCCCGCGTGATGCCCCCTCCCGCGTGTCACCGGTGCTAAACAGGCGTGTCCTCCTCTGCCCCTGTCGCGAGCCCGGCCAGTCCCCTCCAGCCCCGAGCAGCGCGGGCAGCGGCGCCGCGATGGAGGAAGAGCTCAAGTGCCCCGTGTGCGGATCCCTGTTTCGGGAGCCCATCATCCTACCCTGTTCCCATAACGTCTGCCTGCCTTGCGCCCGCACCATCGCGGTGCAGACCCCGGACGGCGAGCAGCACCTGCCCCAGCCGCTCCTGCTTTCCCGGGGCTCGGGGCTGCCCGCGGGCGCCGCCGCCGCTGCCGCCGCTGCCCCCCTGGACCACGACGCGGCGGCTGGCGCGGCCAGCAGCGGTGCGGGCGGGAGCGCGGCTGGCGGCCTGGGCGGCGGTGCGGCAGGTGGCGGAGACCACGCGGACAAGCTGAGCTTGTACAGCGAGACAGACAGCGGCTATGGGTCCTACACCCCGAGCCTCAAGTCCCCCAACGGGGTTCGCGTGCTGCCTATGGTGCCCGCGCCACCCGGCTCCTCGGCCGCCGCGGCCCGGGGCGCCGCCTGCTCCACGCTGTCCTCGTCCTCAAGCTCCATCACATGCCCGCAGTGCCACCGCAGCGCCTCCCTGGACCACCGCGGCCTGCGCGGCTTCCAGCGCAATCGGCTGCTCGAAGCCATCGTGCAGCGGTACCAGCAGGGCCGCGGGGCCGCGGCGGGGGCGTCCGCAGCCGTGGCCGTGGCCATCTGCCAGTTGTGCGACCGCACCCCTCCAGAGCCGGCCGCCACGCTGTGCGAGCAGTGCGACGTGCTGTACTGCGCTGCCTGCCAGCTCAAGTGCCATCCCTCCCGGGGACCTTTCGCTAAGCATCGCCTGGTGCCGCCGCCGCCGCCCGCGCCCGCGCCAGCGCCCGCGGAGGCAGCCCCTGCGCCCACCGGCGCGGCCCTGGGCGCCCCCGGCGGAGGCAGCGGCTGCAAGAGCCCGGGAGGCGCCGGGGCTGGGGCGGCTGCGGGCAGTGCGGCCCGCAAGTTCCCCACGTGTCCGGAACATGAAATGGAAAACTACAGCATGTACTGCGTGAGCTGCCGAACCCCCGTGTGCTACCTGTGCCTGGAAGAGGGCAGGCACGGCAAGCACGAGGTGAAGCCGCTGGGGGCCATGTGGAAACAGCACAAGGTGAGCGCCTGCTGGGCAGGACCTGGGAGCGGGGGTGCCAAGGAAGAGGGTGCGAGGAGAAAACTTCTTGGCCTCTTCCTTGGGGAGTTGGCAGAGAGAGGGTCGGCCAGGAGTTACTCATTCTTTCATCCATTCCATCCATTAGTCATTTGACAAACACTTAATGAACTCCAGGTCCTCTGAGCTGGACGTTGAAGATGAAAAGGGTATGGGGAAATGACTTACTAGCTCCCCTCTCACCAGAGATTTTATGACTCTACACAAAGGGCCCCGAAAACGCAGGCGCAGGTCTCTTTCGCTCCCAACATCTTACTAATAAGTTATCCTGAGGGCTCCTTTCTATGTAAGGCAGGCAGAACCCCCTCTTCCCTCTGCCAGCAACTTACGGCTGACAATGTGGCCTTGTATCTGATACTGAGAAAAAGAGAGAAGCCATCAAACTCCCGTTAGGTCTCTGATCAGACCCAACACAAGGCTGAGGTCAGTTTTTCTAACTGACGTTGAGCAGCTCGGCTCACTGCCTCCAGGGATCACTGAGACAGGCCTGACAGAGTTAGAATCCCCAGTTAGGGACCCCCTACCTGCACCTGCACATTCAGACACCATCACACACTGTGCGCTTTCCAATAAACTTGCAGCCCAGCCAGAAATATGCATTTGGGTTGAGGAGGAGAGACACAAGAAAATAAAGCAATTTTCCAAGGCTATCTTGTGTCATTCAACTGGAAACAGGCAAAAAGAGGAGCTCATGTGAGAAGAGGAAAAGAAGAGACTGACATACTAAGCTCTCCTATATAGATTTGTTGTTCATATATAGTTACTGTATATAGTTTCAACTGCTACAATGAACATATGTTGTTATTATAGTTTAACATTTTAAAATTAAAAATTAGAAAAAAGGGGGAACACTTTAGAAATCCAGCTTTGAGTGGAAAATTTGCATAGTAGATAGGAAGAGAAATTTGGAGTCAAATCCCTACTTCTAGAGCAGGTTCAGTGGGGGCCAATTTGCACAACCCACCCCAGCCCCTCCCATATATTTGGCAATGTCTGGAGACATTTTTGGTTGTCACACCCAGGGGAGTGCCACTGGCATCTAGTGTATAGAAAGCAGGGAGGCTGCTAAACCTCCACAATGCACAGAAAAACTTCGCAAAGCAATTATCCAATCCCAAATGTCAGGGTGCCTCTGGTGAGAAACTCTGTACAGTTGCACAGACCTGGATCCAAATCTTAGGGCTTGTAATTTACGAGCTGTGTGATTTGGGGCACAATTTTAACACCATCGAAAATAATATCTGACTCAGATAATTGTGGTAAGGATTAAGTATATTTCTGTATGTTTACCTTCTAGCACAGTACCTTAAATGGTATTAACAAATAACATTAAATGTTAGTTATTATTTGTATAATCCTAACTCTGAAAACCAATGGACTTGCAAAAAGCTATAGGATAGCAGCAAAAAGTGCTTATCTGGACTCATTGACTTGGTTACCTGGAGAAAACATGAGCTGGCAACTTTTGATATTGTTTATGCTGAGTCTACAATAGCTTTGAGCTGAATCAGAATGTCTGCCTTGAATTAGTTGTCATTCCTGTGACATTTTGTTGCCTATTGCTTCACGATAATTGTAGCTGCCTTACTTATTTCATCTTTTAAGTGAATAGACATCATTTTATAAATAAATCACAGCAAAGAGGCTGTGATCAATTACCAAGACAAGAAGTATAGGTTCTGTATCTCCCATTCAGCTTTCACAAACTTAAATTTTCACAGCCTAGAGGGCCCAAACTAATTCCAGGTGTTGCCACCCGTATGTTCAGAATTAAAGAAGTGTGGAAACCAAAGATATTAATAGTTGAGAATTTGCCATCATAAGAGGAATTAAGTGTCTTACATGGAAAAGTGAGTTGGATAATGAGCTACGGTTTCAAGAACCAAGGTCAGGGAGGGAAAATTGTTGGTCATCCCTGGCTTGGTATCAACAGCAGTTTTATAAAAACGTGCATCCTCAACCAACAATGCAAAGTTCTGAGGAGATATAAGAAGCACATGTGATACATGATCCATCCAGTGTGCATGGTAACCTGTGGGGATAGGACTACGTAGGATCTAGTGTCGCAGTTTTTGTCTGGTGATGCTGCTTCAGGGAACTAAGACATCCTCCCCAATCCAGAAGGAAAACTCTGAGATGCTTTTGTGAACGCCTATTTTCAAGAATGAATAGAGGCTCTGCTGTTCTCTTTCAGCAGGTACTGTTGTCTTCTAAAGAAAGGGAAATTATGGAGTGCTTAGTATGAGCATCTCAACTCGGGGCTGGTGATCAAAAGAAAAGATAAACGAGAAAGCCTAGGTTAGACACGTGGTCTTGCTTTGTGGCTGGGCACCCAGCCCACTACATCAGCTGTGTGGTGGCTACCTTCCAAAGACAACCTAGAACACTCCATTTCAGACTCCCATTCTTGGCAATTTAAGTTCTTCAGTAAAACTTTAAATCTCTGGAATTTTCTTTTTGTTGTTATTATCTAAAAATCCCAGAATCATGGCACAGCCTCACTGCACTCCCAGAGCTATTAATAGAATTGGGACAGCAACATTCTTGTTACTGGAGAAGCCTTCATCAAAGCCTTGCTTTCATTCCTCTCTGGTGTGACTGCAACTTGCCTTTTGATTAGAGACTCTTTGGTAAAGAGACGTATATGTGACACTAGAATCTATTTTAAAGCAAGATTTACCATCACCTTTTAAAAACAGTGTAAAAAAAAAAACTGTAGATCTTCGTTAAACACGTTTTTGTATGCTTCTTCTCCTGGGAGAAGATGAACCTGAATTTCAAAGAACTTCTGATGTGAAGTTTTGTGTGTCGTGAAAAATAGGACAGGGAAAGGTAGCTTTCCCGGAGAGAGTTCGTCTTTTTTGTAGCTTGATTATGGAGTTTTGTGTTTTCCCAAAGCCAGGGGGAAAGGGTCACTATGGGTCATAGCTCTTCCTTAGCATGATGTGTCTACCACACAATGTCAATGCCAGTAACTCCCGCTTCAGAGGTGACTCTGATCTGCTGGGTACAGATGGTCGGCCCCGAATTAACATGGGTAGAAGTTGCTCCTTGAGCTGAGGTTATGGAATGCTAGCAAAGCCCTTCTTCAGGAGTTGAGAGCCAGGGAGAATAGAAGATGAGTGAAAAGAAAATCTCGCTGCTGTCTCAGAATTACTACTGCTCCCTGTGAGCCAGCACCCCCAGCAGAGCAAGGTGGGCTGTGACAGTGTGGCCTGGAAAACTCAGGAAAGGCTCGAATTCCGCTCATTTCCAAGTCTTGAGGGTCTGCCAAAGGGCAGATGGCTTCCCAGCACCCTGTCTGACCTTATTTTATAAAGAGGTATTTTAGCCTTTAAAGTCTCAGAGGAAAGACCTCCTGCATTAAAAGAGTAACACATAAACGACAAAGGCAGAAATGAAATGGTAGCTGCACTGTGATCATAGGTATATATATTTTTTAAGTTGTTTTAATTTATAATTTTTTTTTTTTTGAGACAGAGTCTCGCTCTGTTGCCTGGGCTAGAGTGGTGTTAGCCTAGCTCACAGCAACCTCAAACCCCTGGGCATAAGCAATCCTTCTGCCTCAGCGTCCCTCCCCAGTAGCTGGGACTACAGGCATGCGCCACCATGCCCGACAAATTTTTCTATATATTTTTAGTTGTCCAGCTAATTTCTTTCTATTATTAGTAGAGACGGGGTCTTGCTCTTGCTCAGGCTGGTCTCGAACTCCTGACCTCAAGCGATCCTCCCTCCTCGGCTTCCCAGAGTGCTAGGATTACAGGCGTGAGCCACCTCACCTGGCCAATTTTAAATATTTTTAGAGATGGAGTCTCTCTATGTTGCCCAGACTGGCCTCGAACTTCTGGGCTCAAGCCATCCTCCCACCTCAGCTTCCTGAGTAGCTGGGACAACAGGAGCACACCACCATGTCTGGCTCTACATATTTTAATATTTGCAGTTTCTTTCAAAACACTTTTTTACCTTAACAACTAATAAATACTCATTGTTAAAAATTGGAATTATAGATGTAGAAATGTAGAAATTAAATATTATTCCCAGGTCGGGCAGGAGTTCGAGACCATCCTGAGCAAGAGCAAGATCCTATCTCTATTAAAAATAGAAAGAAATTAGCTGAATAACTAAAAATATATAGAAAAAATTAGCGGCGATGGTGGCACATGCCTGTAGTTCCAGCTACTAGGGAGGCTGAGGCAGAAGGATTGCTTGAGCCCAGGAGTTTGAGGTTGCTGTGAACTAGGCTAATGTCACTCTAGTCCAGGCAACAGAGCAAGAGTCTGTTTCCAAAAATAAAAATTAAAAAATAAAATAAATATCATTCCCAAATGCCAATTTGCAGAGAAGACATTTTTAATACTTTGGAGTTTTTCCTTCTAAAATTCTATTGCACACTTGTTTTGAAACTGCCTTTTTTTCCTTTCATAATATAATATAAATATCTTTGCTGACAATATACATCTGATGGCTGCATGCCATTCTGTCACTATTTAATTAACTCCCTAATGCCAAACTTTACATTGATTTAAGTCTTTTGCTATTACAAACATTTTTCTAGGTAAATCTATGCCTATACTCTTAATTATTTCCTCAGGTTAGTTAAACCTCTAGATATGGAATTGCTGTATCAAGGATACCTGACTTTAAGATATCTAATTAATGTTTCCAAATAATCTCCCATAAAGATGATACCTGTTTTTTCCCAGTAGCAAAATTATACAAATAATGAAAAATACACGTGGATGGGGACCATTAGAAGTAGTAATAAGGTGGATTGTCTTGTTTCTAGTAATTACTGTTTGCTATATTGATTGCATTATTGTTAGAACTATTTTTTGAAAGAGGATCACAAATATCCAGATTTTTATAGTTTTAACTACTATTTAGGGATTTGCCTTCCCTCAAAAATTGATTTAACATGTACGGCTATTACACACTATCCCCTC